CTGTGTTTTTTTTTTAAATTTTTTTTTTTTTTTTTTTTTTTTTTGTAAAAAAAAATTTTTGGGGGGGGGGGGGGGGGGGGAAGCTAACTTTTTGTTAATGTCTTCCTGATGGCCCAGTAGGACATTTGTGTTATTCCACAAAGAAAATAAAAGATATAAGTTTAATGTTTGAGATCTTGTGATGGAACTGTCCATTTATTTCTGTCATATTTAGAAGTTTTTAATCAAAGTCCTTAGAACTGTCTTTATTTGGGCTGGTCCTATATCAGAGAAGACAGACTACAGTTCACTTGCATCTACCTGAGGACCCAGTCAGGAGTCAAGGCTGTCCAATCAGATCAGTGCTTGTGTGTACATTTGTGATGCATGTCATAATTATCACTGTTACACCTGTGGCTTTAATTCCCTTGCATGCAGCATGTAAAGGGTGGTGTTTTGTGTGGATACGAGTCTGTGTTTGTACAAGTGTGTATTTTGTGTCTTGTATAGCAGGTCTAATTACCGAACAGTATGTGTAGGAGCTCTTTGACCTTTATACAAAATTCCTGGCGGGCGGCTCATCTGCCCTGCTCTCCACCGACTCATTAGCTAATATTTATAGCACACTGCTCTGACAGCAGTCTAATAAACGTACCTGTGTCTTTATTTAGTCCGACTTACCTGTTCTGTCCATCCTTCATGTGCACAATGTAGTCTCTTTTCCTCTTATTTCTCTCTGGGGGTCGAGAATAAAGGTCAGTCTGTTGTATCAGCTCAGCGTTTAGTAGAGAGGTCACAACCTGTGTTGGGGAGTCGGGGGTCCAGGTCTTTGTTCAGCAGGGTTCTGTGATCTGTTGAACTTGGCAAAGTATTATTGAGTGAATAAATAAATAGCCAATAAATTCAAACAAGGTAATGACTTGGATTATTAGTACAAATTGATGATTATCTGATAGTACAAATCAACAGATGTGCAGAAATAATGATGGGATTAATACTGATATACACACACACACACACACACAGACAGACAGACAGACAGACAGACAGACAGACAGACAGATAGATAGACAGATAGATAGATAGATAGATAGATAGATAGATAGATAGATAGATAGATATTTAGAGATTTTTTCAACACCGTATATTTCCATACAAGTTCTAAATATAATTTCTGCAAAAAAAAAAAAAGAAAGAAAAGATTGTGAATAAAGCAGCAAATTTTTGTTCAATAGAACACAATTTTCACTTCAGGCAAAATAAAATTGAATTTATATAATAATATAATGCTCAAAAATTCATTTCACAAAATTCACCCTCATGTTGTTCCAAATCTGTATGACTTCCTTTCTTCAGCATAATATAATAGACCTTTTTTTTTCTTCATCTTTCATTTTTGGGTTAACTATTTAAATGTAAATATAAAAAATTAATAAATTACGTTTTGACGAAACACACTGACAAAAAATACTGTAGGTCAGATGATATTTTCGTCTGATAAAATTATTCATTCTTGGGGCATTTTAAAATTTGCTTCTAAAAATGTATTTGGTAAATATGTTTCGTTCATAGTTTATGCACAATTCTGCTTACCAAATAAAAAGTTGTTTTATACACATTATGAAAATTTTATTTAAATTGTAACAATTTTATTTAAAATTTAAAATGTTATTGTTTCTATCCAACATTTTTAGTTTGACATCCAAAAATAATCTGATATCTCCAGTTTGTATGCATGGATTGAAACCTGGCTTTTGATATCCACTTTGTCCCAATCGCAACAGAATGTAGTATAATGTAGCAAAATGTATTATAACAGGATATTTTGCTAAAGCTAAAGCATCATTTTATAATGAATGAGAAATGTATGAGATGTATGAGAAAATGTAACAATAACTACTGACAAGTGTCACCAATGTATTATACAGCTGGAAGTATTCTTAGTTGCTTTAATACTAGCCACAGTTCTCTAAATCTGTACAAAACAGTAACTCCAGTGGGGTGAATGTTCCTGCTCTGTGATGGCTATGCTTCTGTTTCTCCTGTCTGCGGTGTTCAGGCCACCTGCCATAAATCTGATCAAACGGGAAATGTTTCCGGCAGGATAAATGGCCGCCTCTCACAGGGGAGCCAAGATTGATAGTCAAAGTTAAATTGTATTAGCTGTGCAGTTTAAATATTTAACCCAGTCTTATCATAACTGCTCTTAACACTTAAAGTAAAATACAGCAGGGGTGTCTGGAGAGGGATCTGTGGACATATATCTCTCACCACCTCCATGTTCCTGCAGTGCTATTGTCCAATAATACTTAAATGGCTTGACTTATTACGAATGCTCATTATAAAGCTAACCCTAACCCTAAGCTCTAAAAGATTCTGGGTAATAACTGAGTGACTAATAAGTGTTTTCATGAAGGCCACTTTGGGTTTGTGAGCTGCATTGCTATTAACATAAGGATCAGTGACATAGTGCTCTTTTTTTTGTACGAATCTATTAATGTAAATTCCTATCTGTCTATAAACATAACATGCGCACAACACATTTTTTAAATTTCTGAATTAAACATTTTTTATATATTTTTTGAGGAACATATATATATATATATAATATATATATATATATATATATATATACATAAAATATATATAATTTAAAAAAAAATGTTGTTTCGGTTGTAGCATGTCCTGTGATACGACTCCCCAAAAATATAGTAATAACTAATAATTTAGAATTCATTATATTTGTAAAAGAAAAGCTATTACCTTAAAATAATTCTTAGAATGACTGGTTTGGAAATAATTAAGATCTGTATTCACCCATTTAAGGTGTAAAAAAATTACAGTATTCTTTAATAATTAAATTATTTTTTTCTTGACTACACCTTGATTGTTTTCATTGCCTTTAAACTTTCTTTGAAAATGTTATTATAAAGGTTTTTCCAAACCATTTCAAATCAAAGATTACATTTCAAAAAACTAGTTTTGACCTCGATTTTTAAAACATGTTTCCTTTTCTCTATTGTGGACATTCATATTTGTCATCGCCCCTTAACCGGTTTCGTCAGCGCTGTTGCTGCTTCTCTTTACTCTCTTTCCTTTCAAATGAGAGGAGATGCTCGTTTATGATTATAATTAGCCAATTAGCGTGGTAGTGTGTCACGACGAGTCTAAATAAACACAGCTGCACAGCGGTTCTGTTGGAGTGGCAGATGGGACAGGGAGAGCATGCGAGTACTGCGTTGAGAGAATTTTTTAGCAGAGTAGCATGGCGTTTGCCCTTGGACAGTGCTCTCTCACCTGAAGGTAAATGTTTATGACGGAATCATCATTAAAACTCAGACGTTTAATAGGTCCAATTAAAACAATGACTTCATTTACAGCGGGATGAGAGCCGGCCCTATTTATTGGGAGCTGGAGTAATTGAGTTCTGGGCACTTGGACCATTAACTCCTTCCTGAGAGCCACTTCAGTTTAAAGGATTGGGGAAGTTTCTGAACACTAGAGGGCGAATGTTTGAGGCTCACGGGAAAACGAATCTAAACACTATTATGTTTAGAGGAGTGTTTAATCAGAGAATTTCAATTTTGAGTTGACAGTTCCCAACTTAAGAGTTACTGTTAAGTTCTGAGAGGGAATAAAAAGCCACTCTCTACTCTTCTTTCCCCCGCGCGTGTCTGTTTTAAGGGATTTATGGGTTAAAGAATGAGATCTTCTCCGTAAGCTTCTCTCCACATGATGGGATCAATGTCGTTAGCCGCGAGATGACGAAGCGGTAGAATATCTCTCCACGGGCCGGGCACAGATTGCCACAGGGGCCGTCAACCGATCAATAGCAACAGAGGCGAGCGATTGACCGACGCCGCCCTTTTCCAGGGAAAAGAGAAATGGACGAGGGAGTTGAAAATGTTGAAATAATGGGCCTTGGAGGCTTTGAGAGCAGAGCTAGTGCCGGCCTGTGGAGGAGAGTGATGGGCGAATTAGGGGCGGCTTGGGTTAGCGATTCCATACACACTCTCATGAGGGGTAATGAAGTGGACCACTTTACCCGTCTGACTATGGACTGAACTGGCGCTGTGTTTACTGCAGTTTTTTGCTGTAGGTCTTTCTCCATAATACATCAATCCCCCCTAACCTTTTCCACTTCTTTGTAATTTCAGTGGCTCAGAAAATAGTTGCGACCCGGAAGAAACAGCAACTGTCAATCGGACCCTGTAAGTCACTGCCCAATTCTCCAAGCCACTCCTCCGTCTGCGCAGCGCCTGTGTCTGCAGTGCATATCAGCCAGGTGAGTCTCACACACTTAAAACACAGTGAAAAATCTTTTAGCTCGTTATGTAGAGATCATTTTTGTTTGTTCCCCAAAAGCACCTCTTTGTCTCTACCCAAACAGTGTTCCCCCCCCCCCCCCCCTGCAGACAGTAATCCTCTTCCACATGGCTCAATCCTCATTGATTTCTCATTAGCAGTGTACAAGTGAGCCTGTGTTTGTGCAGCCAAGCTTAGAGAAGCTCAGAAAAACAGGAGGCTTGTGGCGTTTCTTTGTAACGTGAGATTATTTTCTTGCTTGCTTTTGTATGTGATTCTTGCTTTGTGTGTGTGTTGCAGACTAGTAATGGTGGAGGCAGTTTGAGCGATTACTCTTCTTCCGTGCCATCCACTCCCAGTACCAGTCAAAAAGAACTACGTATCGATGTACCCCAAACCGCCAACACCCCTACGCCCGTCCGCAAACAGTCCAAACGGCGCTCCAACCTCTTTACGGTCGGTCTGTTCTCCTATTAGGCATGATTGTAATTGTTAATTAGTGCATTAATGTTATACTTAAAATTGCGACAGTAACAGCAGTCAGTTTGAAGAAGTGTGTTACATATACCAAATGAATCCAAGACATTAAATGAATTCATATATAAAAAATGTTGATTTGAAAAATAACTATTTATATTTATGTACACTACCATTCATAAGTTTGGGGTCAATAGTTTAATATAAATATAAAGTTAATATTTAAATGAATACTTTTATTTTGCTAGGATGCATTAAAATGACAGTTTAGAATATTGAAAAATATTGTTCTTTTGATTTTGTTATTGTTCTTTATCACTTTTCCACAAAAATATCAAGGAGCACAAGCGTTGTTAACATCATAATAATAAGAAATGTTTCTTGAGGACCAAATCAAATATTGGAATGATTTGTCAAGAATCACATAACACTGAAAACAGGAATAATGGTAAAATTATGTTTCTCAGTATTAATTTTTGTATTATCAAATCAATGCAGCATTGGTGAACATCTTCTGATAAGGCTTCTTTTAAGAACATAAAAATGAAATAAGTCTTACTGACCTTAAAATTTTGAATGATAGTGTGAGTATATATAGTTATGGTTATTCACCAATTAACATATATTAGCTTTAGGGGTGTAACGGTTCACAAAATTCACGGTTAGGTTTGATACGGCACAGTGGTGTCACGGTATGGTACGTTTTCGATACGGGGGGGGGGGATTGCTTACGTTGCAATGTTGGAAATATTTTTATTTTAAACCATGAAGGCGAGCCAATGGATATCACATAAGCAAATTGCAAACTTCGTGCAAGAGTTATGCCGGTGAATGTCTTAATCTTAGTCAATTCACTATACAGACAGTGAAATTAAAAACAGAATGACGGAGTAATGACGGAGCTTTCGGCATCTGACGCCACATATTCTCTCAGAGACGACGAGAGACCAATCTACTTCAACATATGCTGATAACGGTATATAGCTAACTGTTTTCATTTATTCCCTTAATACTTCTCTTGTGGCCCATACATAGTGGGAAAAAAAAGACAAGAAACATATTTCGTGTTAAACAGGTTGTTTTTGAAAGTTGGTGCTTGAAATAGGCTAAAGCTTTTTATTCATTGATTTTAATTGATGACTGCCGAGCTAATATTTTAATTATAGGCCTATAATTCATTGTATATAGGCCTGTTTTAAAAGACATTTTTTAAACATTTTAATCGAGGAGTAAATAGCCTAATCTTTTGTTAACCTCGCAGCGCGTCAGTTATGCAGTTGCTAATATTGCGGGGCAAATTAATTTTAATTTAATAATAAAAGTAACTTCATAATAATAATAATAATAGTCCTAATAAAAATAAGAATGTAACAGGCCTACATTAATTGGAAATGCCAAATCCTCTTAATATTGCCAATACTTGTTGTTTTTGAAATATCTCTGGCTATCGTTGATACAAGATCATCGTCTTTCGACGCACCCCAGCAAGAGGAGGTTATCACGGGGCCTTTCGCAGTGCGTGTGCCCTGCATGCCCGTCCACTAGACAGCACGTTGCCTCTTACGTCTTTGGGCTGCCTTGTTGAGCACAGTGGCACTGAGAGCATTATATTTCACACACTTAAAGCTCTTTTAGTTTCCATATGTAATAGGATTAGTCCAACGAATCGTTCGGTTTGTAATGCGTACCAAACCGAAAGCCTCATACCGAACGGTTCAATACGAATACGTGTATTGTTACACCCTTAATTAGCTTATATATTATTTCATTCTATTCATTTCCAGTTTCCAAGTGTCTTCTTCAAACTATCCATTTCATATTTGATATGATCAGTAAAGACTGTCGTTTTTCTGGTCTTGTATGCTCCTTTGTAGTGCACATCCTGCACATGTGCCACATGTCTTGCTTTCAAGAAGTTGTGGGGGTGGGGTCACGTCAAGGTCAAGATGACCCCTCCCACACCCCCTTGACTTTTGAAGTCATGTGTGTGCCCTGCACTCCAAACTGAATCTAGTCTGAAGTCAGGCTCAATTAGCAGCTAGCTCGCCTTTGACTAAAATGATGTCTTCTCCCCCCACAGTCTCGGAAGGGAAGCGAACCAGACAGGGAGAAGAAAGGGATGGATGGCCGCGCAGACAGCATTGGAAGTGGCCGCGCTATCCCAATTAAACAGGTAGGGTCTGGCCGGCCGTCTGGACTGGTATAATTGGAGTCCAACAGCGGCGTATTGTGGACGAAGGGCCTCAGATCAGTACACAGACCCGCGCAAAGATACTTTTATTCAGCAAGGATGCATTAAATTGATCAAATGTAACAGTAAAGACATTTATAATGTTAGAAAATATGTGTATTTCAAAATAAATTGTTCTTTCGAACTTTCTAATCATTGAAGAATCCTGAAAAAAAAATGTATCATAGTTTCCACAAAATGCTTAACGGTAATGTATTTTGAGGTGTAAGGAAAATGTTATAACACATTCACACAGTAATTAAATGTACTGTATAAATAAAGTTACTGTGTCTTACAACAATATTTTTCAAAATCGTATGAAACTAACATGAATACAAAGAGTACATTTCAAGAACTTGGCACATGTGTTTTAAAATAGATTTATTTTTGTGTCTTTTATATGTCATTACAATAGACTTCATAGCAAAATTTAAGCTAAAGCAATTTCCTTTATGCGTATAAAGCGATTAAGCCTTAAATGTTCGACTTCCTTTGATTTGAGAAATGAGACACTAAATTTATTCGCAATTGTTGTCAGATTTATTGCTGATTTGTAATGTAGAAATATGATCTTGAAAATACTTTTGGAGATTTTGGCCTTTTCAAGCAGATGTATGCCTATTGTGACCTACATGGAAAATAGCTGCCTAGGAGCATTACCAAGATGGCCGCTAAGCGAATTGCCTGAAAGGGACTTTGGAGGTACTTCTTCTTCGAGGCACACAAGCGAGTGCTAATGCTGCCAGCAGTGATCTCTCACCTCCTGCGGCTCTATTTGCATAAATCCTGTTAAAGTCAGTGGCGGTTAATGAAGAAGAAATGAGGCTGGCCCGGCTACAGCGGTGCTGAGAGCAGGGCGCCGCGCTAGTGGCAGATGGGAAGGCTGAGCCGTAGCAGGCAGCTGTGCGGAGGAGAGAGCAGCATGCAGTTTTAACTATGATCTGACTCTCTTCCGACTGGGCTTGTGCTGCGGCTAATTTGTATGTGCGATGCCAAGAGCGATCAAGATGATAACGTGTGATCTCAAGAGAGAACAACCGTGTTCTACTACTTTAGAGCACGTCATTTACATAATTACATAGTGCATTTATAATATGTACTTGAATACAGTAGGGAGTGTGTACTAGTTGTATATAGGTACCGAAAGAAAAGTTGTATTTTTAATGTTAAGTATATTAGATAGCCTTCAGTATAGTGAAACATTAGCGGATGGAGAGTGTGTCGCACGGGGGGCCTGGCGCAGAGCCATATCTCTGAAGCATCTCTCAGCCTCTTGACACTGCAGGTACATAAATGAGGGATTAATTTCCCTGGTGTCAGACAGAGCCTGCCCCACACTTACTCGTACACGCACACACTTACGCACACACTCTTGTGCTGATCAGAAGCCCCATCAGTGCCCGAGTCCCTCATCTCATGAGGAGATCAATCAGCCAGCGCAATCAGAGCTCACCAGTCTATGCAGTCCACAGTGTTTGAGTTCTCCCTGCTGTCCTGTCGCTCTCTCGCTAGTGCTTTAGATTCATGGTGGTGCAGACTTTTTTGCATTTTCTTTGCTGACTTTTTGGAAATGTTGTAACAGATTTAAGTAAGATGGCACATTTTGGGGGGAAATCATATTGCGTGAAAAAAAAAAATTCTAGTAACATTAGTATAGGGACCCATTCTCACTATTAACTAGTTTCTTATTAGCATGCCTATTATTAACATATTAGCTGTTTATTAGTACTTATAAAGCACATATTCTTCATGACCATATTCTACATCCTTAAATCCTACACCATGCCTAAACTTAACAACTACCTTACTAACTATTAATAAGCAGCAAATTAGGAGTTTACTGAGGCAAAATTCGTAGTAATTGGTTTGTTAATGACAAGAATTGAACCTTAAAATAAAGTGTGACCTTTTTTTATATACTGCAACTGGGATTTGAACTGCAATATGATGAACGTTTATCGCTCCGATATCCAGGTAAAATGAAAAAGTGTTACATTGTACTTGTACTTAATGTGGACTCAGATCTTTTTTTCTTAGTTTACTTGTTAGTTCAATCTTCTTTTACTTTACTGTATTTGGAACCCAATCAACATGAATAAAAAAAATAGCAATAATATACGCTTTAGTATAATAGACATAATAATATACATATTATTATATTGGGAAATACAGCTATTATTATTATATTGTAAAATAAATAGTACAAAACTAACAATTTTTCACAATTACTATAGTTTTAGTTCGTCTTATTAATAAAATTATTAATGCAAGTTTTTACAAATAACTGATACTGTAATATAAAAATCCAATTCAATAAAAATCAAACGTTTTCTTAATTTCCACAGTAAAATTATACTTTTACAATGAATTTTATTTTGGTGTAGAATTGAAGCAAGACCTTTGTTTCAATAATTATATCAAACCATAACCCGATTTTGATTTTACTTTTATTAATTGTGCATTCCTAGTTGTTGTGGAAGTTTGCGTAGAATTCTGCAGACTTATCTGGATGCCCATTCTGTGTGGGCCTGCCCATTTGTCCTTTAATCAAACTTAGTTTACTTTATAATATCAATTTGATCTGACATCTCAGAAACTCCCCAGCCTCATCAGAAAAGGATGTATGGAGAGACAAGCAGCAGTGGAGCCGCTGACCAGAATCCCTCCATCAGATCAATGTCTGCGTCTGCTGCAGTGGCATTCCCATCTAATTGGGTGCTACGTTCAGGCGATGAATGTTTCACCAACAGTACAAAAGCGGCCCCGACGCATACCCTCACAGACGATAACGCAGCCGAGCAGTTTGCGCTCAGAGGCATGGGGCAGATCTTCATTCAGAAATTGGATGTTAATTGATTTGATAATTCCCTGTGGTCTTCCCTCTTACGTGCTCGCGTCTCTCTCAATCTGCCTCCTCGCCTCTCACTGGCCACAGCAGGCTGCTGGGCGTTAGACCTGCTCTCCAATTAGCATGTGTGGGCATGTTCACTTCCGAGTCTACCTGCCTCACATTAGCACCTCTTCACTGGCCTCTTTTGGTCCAGGAAAGTGGATTTTACAGATTTTCGCTGGAAATCCCTCACTCATGGCACAGCATTAATGAATTGGCCTGAACTCTTGTGCACTGGCTCTCAGCTGCACATCATCGCCGGCTCCGCTGTTGATGAAGAACGTTAACTTGTAATCTCTTTGGCAGATGTCTGAGTGCATTAGATTTATCGCTCAGCTGTTCCTTGAAGGTATGGCCGTAATTGTTAGTGAGTTACTCACACACGGATGAGTCCTGAACAAAATCGTTTGCTCTTGATGCTTTGGATTTTCTGTTCCACTCAACACTCTTAACAAATGAAGTTTCCAAAAGGGGGTATTCGCAGTGATGCATAGAAGAACTATTTTGGGTTTCCCCAAAGAACCTTTCAGTGAGCAGTTTTTAAAAGAACGATTTTTGTTTTAAAAGGGGTAGTTCACCCAAAAATGAAAATTGTCATTAATTACTCACCCTCATGTCATTCCAAACCTGTAAGACTTTTGTTGTTCTTCAGAACACAAATTGAGATATTTTTGATCAAATCCGAGAGCTCTCTGACCCTGCATAGACATCAAGGGAACTACCACGATCAAGGTCCAGAAACGTAGCAAGTACATCAGTAAAATAGTCCATATGACATCAGAGGTTCAACCGTAATTTTTACGAAGCTGCGAGAATACTTTTTGTTAGGAAAGAAAACAAAAATAACGACTTTATTCAACAATTCTTCTCCTCCTCATTTTCGCCGGCTGTTGAGAACGCGCTCAGGACAGTTCGGACATTGCAGTGAATCAGAGGTAAAAAATTATATAAATACTGTTCAGTTTTTTGCACAGACCGATCGTTTCGTGTCTTTACACATCAATGTATCGTCACGAGCTGCAGGGTTTCATTTGGTTTTGTTTGTGTATGTTTTTTTGACTCTCAAATCCGTGATTCCTATTCACTTCCATTATATGACTGACAGACTGCAACGGTTTGAGTTAAAAATCTTTGTTTGTGTTCTACTGAAGAAACAGTCACCTACATCTTGGATGCCTTGGGGGTAAGCAAATAAACATCAAATTTAAATTTTTTGATGTAATTTAATTTGTGTTCCAAAGATGAACGAAGGTCTTACGGGTTTGGAACGACATGAGGGTGAGTAATTAATGATAGAATTTTTATTTTTGCGTGGACTGTTCCTTTAATGATATGATGTACAGTATATACTTCAAGTGAAATAGAACAATGAACTGGTGTGACGTCACAATAATACAATATTAGTTTGGAGAATAATACAGAATTAGGTTTTGGAAGTTTAAAACAACATGCCAATGCAAACTTTTTGTAAAAGCTGATAAACAGTTGTCCATGACGATTACATAACAAGAAGGTGTGCTCTGGGGCCCCGTCTTCTTTGGCCTGGAGATCTTCTCTGGATTATTTTTTTCCATTTAGTCTGCAACACAAGAAGAAAAAACACAATCTCATATCAGTTCTATGTAACGATTTTATGTTTTGATGGCTAATTGGCTACAGTCTCATTCATAAGTATTCATACAATCTGCTTTTGCCCAAGGGTCGGTTATGTTTTTGGGGTGGACCTTCTTGCTTTTGTCTAAAAATCTAAAAAACAAAATTTGTAAGTTTTCATAAAGTGGACAGCACATATTTGCATATTCATCTAAATGCCGCTCCCAGCAGTGTTGGTGGTGTCGGGATGTTCACTAACAGAATGCCTGCGCAGGTATTTTAAACTTACCCCTCAGCGAACAACAAAAAAAGAACTGTGCTGTGAGTATTTCGGGGCCTTAATTGTAAAGAACATTTTAATCATCTGAAGAACTTTTTTTCAAACTAGAGAACCTTTTGTGCATTGGAAAAGTTCCATGTATGTAAATGGTTCTTAATAGAACCATAGATGTCAAAAACA